GGAGGAGGAGGAGGAGGAGGAGGAGGAGGAGGAGGAGGCGGAGGAGGAGTTGGCGTCTTCGGTGGGAGCCGAAACTTCGGGGGGCCGGAGGGTGTCTACTCGTGCGATTGTCCCAACTGCCTCGGCTCGCAGCGCTACCAAAACAGCGCTCGACTGCGCTCCGGCCTCTTCAACAGCGTGTCCGGCGGTAAAACCGACCTCGCAGGATTCGGACAAACGCCCATCTTTCCCGCCTACAACGAGACCGTGCAAATTCGCAAGATCATCCCTACTCGAGGCGGTGACGCACCGATCATCAGCTTCTCGTTGGCCGGACCCAACTCCGGCTTCTCCAGCGGCGGCGCTGTTGGTGCTGTTGGTGGCGCGAGTCCCGGCCGTCTGGGACTCGTTCTGCCCGGCAGCGGAGCTGGCAACAAGTCGAGCCTCGAATCGGCTGGCAACAACTTTGACGCCTGGCAACCGTTCGGCGAGGTGGTCTTTGAGACGTCGACCATCTTCAACGATCCTTTCAATCTGAAGTTAACCGGAGCCCAGGGCAACAACAATCCTCTCGGTCGTCTGACCAATCAAAACGGTCTCGGCTGTACGGGCGGACCAACATCAAGCGTCTGGCCGACGGGCTCGGCCCTTGGCAACCAGTCTCTAGTGCAGGTCTACAACGAGCCCGGCTCACCCAACCTCTTGGCACCCTTCTTCCTGCCTGGCCAAGAGGGCTTCGGTGAGTCGACCGACTGTCGGTCCGCTGGTATGGCCTTTGCCAGCGGGACTCGAACCAGTGCAGCATCAACCCTCGGCGGTCATCGCTACGAGAACGGAGGCGGCGGCTCCGGTGACGTCACTTTGCAACCAGCCGATCCGGACAGCCGAACGACGTACGGATACGCGCAATTTCAGGCAGCTCGACAACGTTTTGAGTCGTCGGACAAACAGACTCGTCGTCAGCACAATCAGCCGACATTGGAGGCGGGACTCGGCGGCGCACCGTTCGGTTGTGGCGTCTTCACGAGTCTGCTCACCGGCCAGAGTGCCTGCGGGACTAGCGGCGCCAGTCCGCCGCTCGGTGCGATCCCGGCAACCGGGACGGCGGGTGGTACCGTGGCGACGGGCGCGGAGCATTTCGGCTCGGCGGGTTCGAGCGCCGGCCAGACGGGCATGGAACTGCAGCCGGTCTGCGGCTGCGGGCCCGGTCAGGCGTGTGGCGCTTTGTCCGGTCAGGCGGTCAGCTTGTCACCGCCGGAATTGGCAGATGTTCAGGCGATACAACAGTACGTGGTGGCAGAAGAGACTGGTCCAGGCGGCATGAAGAAGATATTCAGCTTTCCGGCCGGCCAGGCGCCGGGCGATCTGACGTTGTTGCGAGCGGCTGTGGCCGCCAACATGCCGACGGACCCGTTCGTTCCAGAGGAGACGGAAGAGTTGGAGCGACTGTGTCCCCTCGCAGCCGCCTCGGCCGGTACCGGTTTCAGAGGCGCTGCAGCCGGCCAGACCGTCTGGGGCCCGAGAGGAGGGCAGATGGTCAGCCGAAATGGGTTCACCTACCGTCATCCGTCGCAGTATCAGCAGCAATATCAGCAACAACAAATGAGTCAATCGCAATTCGGTCCGATCAGCACGAACAGAGGTGAGTCTAGAGTCGGCCGATGTCACTGTTTCGGCGCAGGCTCGATTGGCAGACCGGTTGGTAGGCCTTAAAAACAGTGGTCGCCACGTGAGACTGGCTTCCGAAAGAGACAACGGAACAAGTTTCCTGTTGCACACCTCATTTCAACAAAACTGGGCACTTTTCACCATAACCTTGTAGCATCAAGTCCCCAGAACTAATGTACTTGAAGGCTAAATAGGAAATATTAAAAAAAAAAACCGGGTTTCACAATCGCCCTCAACAGGGTTGATGCTAGTATAGACGTTTTTTGGTTTAGAGACACGAGCTGAATAAGGAAGTCTTGGAGATGTGACTGCAGATTTTCGTGTATAAATCCTCAATTCTACATCCCTTTTTCTTGCCTCTTCAGACGAGAATAAGAAATATTTTCGATTTCAACATTTTCCAAATCCATGAGTAGCTCTAAAATAAGGACTTAAGAGATGCTATTGGAATTTTTCGACGGCAACGAGTCGTGAGCGCTATCTGTTAACATTTAACCTCTTGTTACGATAAAGGATAGATGCAACTTTCAAGGCTGCCTGGTCTCTCTCAAATTAAAATTTTTCGAGTAAGCCTGTCGGCAAGTCTAGTATCTACTTGTTATTACTTATATTCAGTGTGAGTAGTTTGCGATAATATAGGAAAATCCTATGAGAAAATGTTGACCTCCTTTGGCTTGATTGTCGAATGGAAGTTCTTATATCCGGAGTGAGTAATATTTCTGGACTATCCGTCGCTTAAAGTCGCTTAAGGTGATGAATGGATGATAGGAAATGTTTGCACAGCCAATTCAATAAAATTTCAGC